GGCTTTATGCAAGGCAAATACAACTATGAAAATGAATGAACAACAACAAAAAACACCTCATTAACAAAAAAGAAAAATCTGCATAGATGCTCAAACTTGAAATTGCAGTAGGTACCCCCCAAAAAGCATCTTACCTGTTCAGCTGTCTTGGAATATATATAAGGTATCACAGACAGGAAGAGGTGGAGGCACCAGTCCTTGAAAAAGTCCATGGAGTGCTAAACCCAACCAGCAGGCAAGGACACCCACTCAATGATGCCCCAAACAGGAATGAGTCCTTCACCGCACTGCTCCCCAAGGTCCCAAAATTACACATAAGCACTGGGCTGTAACTTAATGATTGCAACAAAACCCACAATTATTTTTGCCCAGAATTTAGAATTGGCTTCTAAATTTTAGAAAAGGAAAATTTGGAAATTTATGCGCAAGTCATTTTATAATTTTCCCTGGCAAACTAGTAAGCTGGCAAATTAGATGTAATTGTGTAGTTGACTTCATTTGCCCAGAATTATTAGGCTCAGCAATCCTCTTTGGGGCAATCAAACCTTCCTTCCTCAAGCCAACAAACACTATTAGTGCTTAATTATGTCATATATCTACATACATTTAAAAAGGGAAGAAAATGATATAAAAAATGGCGATTTAAGTTTTTTAAAATGTCTCTAAAAAGAGATTTATTTAATTATTGTACATAACAAGAGCTTTGTCTTCTTAAAATGTATAAAAATATTTACTCCCAATAAATCCTACACAAATATAAAAGTATCTATTTATTCATGTAGCACTCCCTATGTCCTGTGAAGTAGTACATGTTTTTATTTCATCATTAACATCTGAAAGCAACCGCAATAGAAGTAAAAACTTACGGTCAAATTAATATTAAAATTTATAATGTGAGTTGGGGGTCAATGTTTGACTCACATAAGACTCCTTTTCTCAAAAGAGGAATAATGGTTCCTTCCAAGACTGCCTTGTTTATAATGCAAAATAATTATCAGCTGTCATAACACCGGCACCAATAAGCCCTAGTAGATGTCGGTTTACTACGAGATAGTAGCATGCTCTTTCCACTGAAACTGAACCAGTCCAGGCTGGTGAAGCACTGAGCTACATTAACTTACTTAATAACCAGGTTCTCCACTGAGGTATTGTTAGCAGTAGCATAGGCTAAGGTCCATATCAGGACAGCTTGCTCTTATCAGTTGTTTGCATTAAAACTGACTACACTATCAAACAGCACTAAGTATTCAGGCATCCAAAATTTATATTAATAACAATAAGCTAACACTTAGTTAACATTTATTAAATGCCAGGTACTCTAACAGCTAGCAATAATCCCATAAGGTAAGAAATATTACTATTGCTGTTTTATTTAATTTATTTATTTATTTATTTTTGGTTAATCCTTACCCAAGGATATTTTTCCATTGACTTTTAGGGAGAGTGGAAGAGAGAGGGAAAGAGAGAGAGAGGCAACATTGATTGGTTGCCTCCTACACATGCCCCAACCAGGGCCCCGGCCAGAGAGAAGCCTGTAACCAAGGTACGTGTCCTTGACCAGAATCAAACCCAGGACCCTTTGGTCCCCAGGCTGACGCTCTATCCATTGAGCCAAACCGGCTAGGGCACTATTGCTGTTTTAAACACATGTAAAATTATGGCCCAAATAATTAAGTTACTTTGTGGTCACAACTAGTAAACAGGGAAAGCTGAAATCTCAACCAAGTCTGGCCCCAAAAGTAATATAAACAATAATGATGAAGACAAGCATATGTAATAACAACACAACTCACTAATGGATATGTAGATAACAACAAATTAAATATCCCCATTGTTATAAGCATTACATAACTGACTCCCAAGGAAGAGTGAAATGACAGGCTGCATGGCTGACCTGTGTGAGAGCGAAGGGTAGAGAGGAGAACCTGAATACCTTCCATTTATGAGTGAAAGCGGGTAGAAAAAGCAAAATTACAAAAACGTGTTAAATAACAAACTGAAAATGGGTGGTAGAAGAAATCTGTGAGTTAATAACACTGAGTTGTCTTAAAACTAGCAAGATGATCTGATGAAAAAAACTCACAGATTTTTCTGAGTGATTCGAAGTAACATAAATAGATGAAGAAAAGCACATAATCCCAGGTTGTACTTGTGAATGGTTCCAAAAAGGAAGCTGCGGCTTCACTTGATGTGCCCAGTGATGGAAGCTGGTAGAGAATTTAAGAGGATGGTAACAGATGCAGTCAAAAATGGCAGAAAAGAAAATGACCTCAGCTACAAGCAAGATTCTCAGGTCAAAGAATCACACCTATTGATGAAGTAAGAAATGCCGGTGAGCAGGAATTCAACAAGAACAGGAATCACAGCCTGCAAGGTCACAGAGAAGCCTACAATAGGAAGCCAAAACATAAGCCTAGAACAAACCAGTACGAATGCATCATTTAACTGAGCAAAAATAACCAACACTTAAGCTCGCAAGGCGGAGACCACTGCACGCGCTCACGTGATGGCTAGAGGAGGATGGCTGCTTTGGTAACAGGCTCAAACCCTTCAGAAGTTTGCTCAGAAAGGTTAGCTAGGCAAGGGGAGAGCTACTCTTGCTTGTAATAGAAAGTCTGAGAGTAAAATGGCAGAAATGACTTAAAGGCCAATAAAAATTAAAACACCATGATTGGCTAGAGTTAGTTTTGAGACTCATGAGCCAGAGAAGAACTGTATGGCAGCACTTGACAACTTAAATCCTCCCGAGAGACTCCAAAATAAGAACACAAGTGAATAGATACATTATGTATATTTGCTCTCAAATGGCAATTAAAAAAAAAAAATCTGTGTATGAGTCTTGTGGGGTATAATTCAAAAACTGTAACGCCAGGATTCTTAGCAGCTGGCTCCATCATGGCTCTTTAAAAGAACTACAAGTTCTAAAACAGCAGTTCAGAAATCACCCTAGCACAGAAAGTAATATAATTCCCTTCCCCTTTATTAAATATATTTTTATTGATTTCAAAGAGGAAGAGAAAGGGAGAGAGAAACATCAATGATGAGAATCACTGACCAGCTGCCTCCTGCATGCCCTCTACTGAGGATTGACCCCACAACCTGGGCATGTGCCCTGGACCGGAAATCGAACCGTGATCCCCTGGTTCATAGGTCAATGTTCAACCACTGAGCAACACCAGCCAGGGAATATAATTCCCCCTTTTTTGGGGGGGTCAATAGATAGAAACTGTTCCATGACTGAGTACAGTGTAAAAGCTAAACCTACCAGAAGGGAAAGCATACTAAGTTAGCAGCCTTAAGTCACCGACAGCAGCAGCGCTCACGAGTGGAGTTTAATCACAACCCATGAATGACTAAGATGGGTCAGCCTGGAGCTGGTTATGATTCCTCAGAGTAAAAATGACATATTCGTATTACAGCTCGATGTCTGTGCTACATGTGCAGACCGGGAACGAAACACTGGACAATACTAGGGGACACCATCCATTTTGTAGTCTGTTGTGGATGGCATCCCTATGGTTGTCTACCAACAGCCTGCCCACCCTAACCCAGTCATACTGGTTCTAGCGGCATTTGGCGCTAAACCGAGACCTTGTGGGTTTATATGATAAACATATCATTCCTTCCTTGTTACCACTTGCTTAACTTTAAAATGCCCTAAAATGCCAAAAATATTGTCTGACCCAAACAACTATTTGTTTTATTGAAATAAAAGATAGTTGGTGCATTTTTCACATGATCCTGTCATGAGTTAATTTTCCTTTTTATTAACAGAATAGAGTGAGCTCATGACAACAGTGACAAACAACACCTGACGACTAATGAGACACCCTGGGAAGCCCCAGAAACGTGATCACCACCACAGAGAAGCTAAGTCCTCACTCCGTTTCTGGCGGACAGCAGAGGTTAGTCATCTGTGGCATTTACAGTGACTCTGTGATGAACTCCAATATGTAAACAGAATTCATACTCATTCCCCAGAAGTTAAAGTGAGATTTAGCACAGCCAGGGAATGGAGTCATCTGGGCAGTCTCTTACTGTGCGTCAGCATTTCCCAAAATTTTTTCCATGGAATATTAAGAGGGTGCCATGGCGAGTTTAAAATGCCACAGCTATCCATTGTGGGAGCATTGTTATGCCTATTGGCTTATTAAGGCTCTGAGAAGTCATGCAGTAAAGAAATTGGTTTTGTTAACCTAGTGTATCCCATACTTATTTGTTCACAAAACCTGGTTTTTCGTTTTGTTTGGTGGAACATCAAAGATATGAGAAGAGTCTGGGAAATGCTACTCAAAGATTACCATGGATATATGTATTAATAACTAAAATGTAACAACCAAACTAAAATAAGATTTAGCTGAGGATTGCAGAGTACTAAAGGAAACTTTAGTGCAGGGTCAACACACGTTGGCTGAGAGCTCTACTTGGTAAAAATGACAAGGAAAATGCCATTTGCTACATATTCAGGGATGCCAGAAACAAAGGACAAAAAGCCTATTTTCTGTAGTACTCACTGTCACTTAGCACACACTTCTCGTAAGATGGATAAAAACATATCAATATTTGGGCTGAGAACATTTTAAATGCTCAGTAAGAACAGAAGTGTACTTCTTTTAAAACCAATTTATCAGAAAACAACTAAATGTCTAGGACTTCAGGAGCTCAGAAGCTTAACAAAGTCTCTCCTCGCATTATGGACTACATTGGGATTATCTGCTGATACCGAGACAATGGCACCTACTGAAGATTATTACAATACTTACCACATTACAAAAAGAATCCAGACCAATGCTATGTACATACTTAGTACATTCTGGATTAGACCAAGTAAAATTTAACAACAAGCTGAACAGCATTCTATAAAACAAAAACAAAAAGTCGGTTAGGCCAATTCTGGCTGTTTTTCTGTGCTACGGACTCACAGTGAGAAAGAAGGCTGTCTTGGAATTTGATGACGGAATCAAATCTGAATTCTTTATCTAAAGTTTATCTACATTTACCTTAAAAGAAGTTCTTTTGGTAACTTTTTGTTAATAAGGCCTTCATCATTATTTGAGAAAACCTAAAAGAAAAAAAAAAAAAGGAAACCCGTTAGTGCTCCTCGATTTTTTTTTTTAAGTTACGTGTTTTTTAGATCAGAACAGCCCCAATTACTGTCCTACAGGTATGATACCAATTTCATGAAGCCACCACACTTCAATATTGATAGCTATAAGAATAGTTTATACCCTTTCACCATTTTTATAAAAATTGCAACATCCATTTCTATATACTACCTTGTATTGGAGGTTCTAACCAAGGTTATTAGGCAAGAAAATAAATAAAAGGCATCTTGTTGGAAAGGAAGAAGTAAAACAATCTCTGTTCACAGGTAACAATCTTGTATACAGAGAATTCTAAAAAAAAAAAAAAATCACAGAAAATTCTATCAGAACTAATCAAGGAGTTCAGCAAGGTTGCAGGATACTATATAAAATATACAATATATTTACTATATAACAATAAATTATATTTCCATATATTAGCAATGAACCACCTGAAACTGACATTAAGAAAACAATCTCATTTACAACAGCATTAAAAAGAATAAAATACTTAAGAATAAATTTAACTAAAGAAGTGCAAGACAGCCCTAGCTGGTTTGGCTCAGTAGATAGAGTGTCAGCCTGTGGACTGAAGGGTCCCGGGTTCAATTCCAGTCAAGGGCATATGCCTGGGTTGCTGGCTCAATAAGGGGCGTGCAGGAGGCAGCCAATCAACGATTCTCAAACATCATTGATGTTTCTATTTCTCTCTCCCTTCCTCTCTGAAATCATTTTTTTTAAAAAGGGGGAGGGAGGGGTGCAAGACATGTTGAAAACTTATATAAAACATTGTTGAGAGAAATTTAAAAAGACAAATATACTCACATCCCATGTTCACGAATTGGAAGATTTAATAGTGTTAAGTTAGCAACATTTCTCAAACTGATCCATAGATTTAATGAAATCTCTACTAAAATGCCAGCTGCCTTTTTATTGAAAAATTTAAAAGTTGATCCTAAAATCAATATGGAAATGCAAGAGGATAACCAAAATAAAGTCATGCATTGCCTAACGATGCTTGGGTCAATGAAGTACCACCTATACAACAGTGGTCCCATAAGATCAAATGGAACTGAAAAATTCCCATCACCCTAAGTGATATCACAGCCATCATAACATCATAGTGTGAGGCATTACTCATGTTGTTTGTGGTGATGTTAGTGTACAGTGTTTATAAACTGTGGAGGAATTGGAACACTCATACACTACTGGTAGACCCATTTTGGAAAACAGTATGGCAGTTCCTCAAAGGTTAAACATAAAGTTACCATATGAACCAACAATTCCAACCACAGGCAACTACCTAAGAAATAAAAATGTGTCCATACAAAAACTTGTACATGGATGATCATAGCAGCATTATTCATAATAGCCAAAAAGTGGAAATAACCCAATGTCCATCAGCTAATGAATAAAGGGTGGTATATCCATACAAGGGAAAATTATTACCAATCAAAAAGAATGAGGTACTAATATATACAACAGATATGAGCCTTTGAAATATTATGTCACATGAAAGAAGACACAAACAAAAGGCCACATGTCGTATAATTCTGACTCCACAAAACCTTTCCCAGCGACTGCCCTGTTCCACTTCCTTAGACACCTCTGCTCCAGTCCCATCTCTTTCAGAGCCACTCCAGCGCTGGAAGTGGCAGTGCTGAGGTAGACAGGACAGGGTAGAAGTGAGACACCAAATGAGGGAGGGAAGGCAGAGGTCAAAGTGTAGTTCAACCCATGGCTGTCCATATCCGAGTTTTCATAGTCTGCGGGGACGGGGGTGGTCAAGTAAAACCTGCAGGGTGTCATTAGACATTACAAATAGAGAGTTCGTCATAAAATAAAAAAGAACTTGCTGGTTCAGCTGATAAGACCCTGAGACGCCTAATCTTGGTGTAGTACATTTAAGCCAGGCACTGGGCACATTCTTTAGTTTGGAGAGAAGCCATGGTATAATGGCTAAGAAGCCAGACTTTGAAGACCAGTTGAGTTCAAATCCTGGCTCTGCTACTGGCCAACTATTTGACCTTGGGCAAGTTGCCTAATCAATCTGAGAGTCTTAAATGGGTATAATGTCAATCTTCTAGGGATACTGGAAGGATTAAATGAGATGTGAAGTAATCAGCCTAAAACTAGGCTAGTAGTGAAAGGCTCTATGAAAAAGAATTATTGTTACAATTAAGTACTGAAAGTTATGCTGCAATTCCAGTGCAGACAAAAGGGAGGCCAAGACTGTCAAGAGTAAAGAGAAAAAAAAAAAGAAAAAAGAATAGAGAAACCTCTTCTTTTCACCATCTATTAATACAGACCTCATTACACAAGCTCTCTTGACTACACGGCAAATAGACCAAAACTGTCCTTAGATGTCAGATACACTTTATTGTAAAGTTTCCCCTCCACCTTGTGCTTCCCAACACCAGCATAGAAAGGAAAGTGCCAAAACAGGGGCGAGTCCGAGAGAATAAATGAAAATGGGAAGACTGTATGATCAAGTATTAAGCAGTAACAAAAACTTGATGGCAATAAATATCCTAATGTACATTTTGACCCACATGAATTAAAATTTAAACCATTATTTGATGTCTTTTTGCAACAATTTTAGAACATACAACTCAAACAAATGTAAAAATTACTATTAGAAAAAAACTTGGAAAATAAAATTTTACTTTTTAAAAGTTTTTTTTAAAAAATATATTTTACTGATTCCTTACAGAGAGGAAGGGAGAGGGGCAGAGAGTTAGAAACATTGATGAGAGAGAAACATCGATCAGCTGCCTCCTGTACACCCCCTCCTGGGGATGTGCCCGCAACCAAGGTACATGCCCTTGACCAGAATCGAACCCTTCAGTCCACAGGCGGACGCTCTATCCACTGAGCCAATCCGGTTAGGGCACATTTTAAAAGTTTTATCCCCCAAGTCTAAATGGCTTTATGTAAGACACTGGTCTTTGTGATTCACAAAAAGTAGGTGTCATTTCCTGAACACAAACTGAAATGACAGGAGGAATTTTCAATGCTATTACAGCCATGAATATGAACCCTAATCTAATAACCTGTCTTCATCAATTCCTCCTCATTTCATCTTTGTGAAAGAGGGGAGGGAGAGGGAAAAGAGGGGAAGGCTAGGCCAGGCTACTCTGTTCTGTAGCAGCTATTCCAGTGCCAAGAACAACAAAATACAAGTATTCGTAAGTGCTCAAAACATTAAAATCTAAATAAGAAAGAAAACTAATTTCCTAACATATATATGGCAAATATATTGTTGACCATATAATGATACACTATATATTACAGTATAATCTAGTGTTTCTATTAGCAGGTTCTGTGACAAAGTGCCTGATTTTGAAATCTGGCTCAATTTATCAGCTGGGTGACCTGGGCAAGTTACTTTACCTCTCTGTGCCTCAATTTCCTTGTCTCTAAAATGGGAAAATGATATCTTCCTCCATAGGGTTGTTGTGATGGTTAAATACGACATAGGTGCTTAGAAAACTATCTCACACATAGAATATACAAAATAAATGTCAGCTGTTGTTATTTTTATAGAGGCAAGAGAAACAAGAGGCTTAACTGCAGAAAATTTCATAGAGAAATAGTTAAAACAGAATTCCAAAATTCACATGCAAAATCCTTTATATCAACTTCTAAAGTTGTGTTGAAATGCAAGCATTTAATGAAGGGTAATGTTATAATCTTGAATACAGTTTTGGGGATCATATAGGCAGCATCCTCCAGTCCCCTCCTATACCATTCATTTCCCACCTTCCTCGGAGCCCAGGCATCAGCTTCTCAACTCAACGGAATCCCTTCCATGAAATAAATTCTTAACGTTTAACAATACACAAAAAGCAAAGCATTTCTAAGTCTAGCAAAGCAACCGCTAATATGCCACTATAGCAAAATGCTTTTATTTCAGTGTCAATAAGACTCCAAAATTCACTAGTCGAGGTGTACTGTGGGTCAGAATGGAATGGGTGGAGGAAGGAGAAGAAAAAGAAAATGGCCAATAGGAGGAATACAAGACTTTTCGGAAAGCTGTGGCCATTAATTCCTGAATATGCCTCCTTTCTCCCTACTATATCTGTAAGGGCTTTTCTCGCATATCTTTCAATCTATGTATATAAAAGCCTAATATGCAAATTGTCCCCTCAACCCAGAGACCAGGAGTGCGATCGCTCGCTATGACGTGCGCTGACCACCAGGGGGCGGCGTTGAACGAAGGAAGGTCCTGGCCGGCCCTGATTGCTGGCCAGGCCTAGGGACCCTACCCGTGCCTGAATTTCATACACCGGGCCCCTAGTAACATATAAAAGTAAGTCACTGCTGGATTTAAAACACAAGAGTTTGGTAAAATTCATTTTCTGAAACTCTTTCTGGCTCCGGTAATTTGTCACGTTCAAGCCGCTCAGCGTTAAAAAGAAACACAAAATAAAGACATTGCTGTTAGTTGTGATTGATGTGCTTTTCCTGTTACCAACAAGCTGCTCACTTGGCAATTGTTTTCTCAGAGCCAACGAGGCATACAGACCATCCACCTTCTCTTCCTGCTGTGCCTCTCCTTAGCAAGAAGAGCCAGAGCCCGCCAGGGTTCCAAATGGCAGGCTTTCTCCCCAGAAAGCCAATGGGCACTTGAAAGGCACCCTGCATTCTCAGCTTATTCGTTCTTCCACTAATCTACACTAAATCACTGACGTTTCACAAACAAAACACCAAAACACCGTTTCTTAAAAATAGGCATCTCCTTATTACCACCCCACCCCCTCAAACCAATACTCTACACCAGCGGTTCTCAACCTGTGGGTCGCGACCCCTTTGGGGGTCGAACCACCCTTTCACAGGGGTCGCCTAAGACCCTCGGAAAACACACATATAATTACATATTGTTTTTGTGACTAATCACTGTGCTTTAATGATGTTCAATGTGTAACAATGAAATTACATCCTGCATATCAGATATTTACATGACGATTCATAACAGTAGCACAATTGCAGTTATGAAGTAGCAACGAAAATAATTTCATGGTCGGGGGTCACCACAACATGAGGAACTGTATGAAAGGGTCGCGGCATTAGGAAGGTTGAGAACCACTGCTCTACACCAAAGGTGTGTCCCCAAGCAGCGTCCTCTCCTCTCTTACAGCCTTGGGGGGGGGCCTCTGGGGAAAACACACCTGGGCCGGCAGTTTCCTGAATCCTGTCTCTTTAAGACCCCACCTCGGCCCTCCAGGCAGGTGTTCAGCAGCGAGCGGGCTCCGTGGGGGCCGGCGGGATGCCCACCCGAGTTACTGAACAGAGGATGGCTGCCGGCTCACAGCTACTCTTCATTAAACCCCTGCGGGTGGGCACTCACCTAAACGCCGCCAGCTTAATGCCCCCATTTTTTAAAAAAGGAGGGGGAAATCTCCAAAATGACAAGTTTAAATGTCCCCGTACTAAAGAGAAAAAAACAACCTGCCGGAAGGATGAATCTGAAACACATGCACATTATTCTACTTTTTATCTATAACTGCAGAAACAAGACAGGCAGAAGCACGGAGCCTGCAAGAAATAGTGTTCGTATGAATATAGAGGATATTGACACACATCCTTTCTTTCTTTTTTTTTTTTGTAACCACACCCTCTCTGGGTGGCTTCCCAGGCAATGCAACGCCAAAATAGCGTCACGCTGTCCGGCGGTCCGCAGGGAGGAGCGGGTCCCAGCAGCGACCCAGACAGTCACGGGCAGAGAAAGCCGGGAAGCGGGCGCCAGGGCCGGCGGGCGTTCCGCGTCCTCCGGGCTCCCTTCCCCCGGGCCCGCCCAGCCCGGCACCCCGCGGCCCCACAGCCTCCCAGGCCGCGGCCCGGCCTCCCCGCGACCCCGCCGCCGCCCGCCGGGACCTCGCAGGCGGCCGCGCGGCGACCCAGCTCGGGCGGGGCCGGGCGGGCGGCGGGGCCGCGCGGGCCACACACTCACCATGGCCGGAGAGCCGCCAGCGCGCCCACAGCCCCGAGTCACACGGCGCCGGCAACGCCCGTTGTCCTGGTGACGCCAGCTGGGCGCCCCGCCCCGTCCCCAAGGTGGGCTCGGGAGCCTGCCATTGGCCGACGGCGAGCACGTGACGCCACAGGGTGGTGCCCTTAGGACCGCCCCCTCGCCCCCCGGGCCTGGACTCCTGGGCGGGGCCTCTTCGCCTTCCCTAGGTCGCACCTGGTCGGTCCATCATCACCTTGATATCCCTCACCTGACAGATAACAAGCAGCAGGCGGCGTGATTCTTTTGGAATTAAAAAGAAACACAAAAACAAATGTGTTCTTTATGCAAGAAACAGTTTACACAGGTAATACATGATTAGTGAAGACGTTTTAAGTGAACTGTAACGAGAATGAAAAAGAACAGAACCATGCTAAATCCCAGCACCTGAGGTAACCAAGGCTTACATTCCAGTTTATCTGCTTCCAAGCTCACAACGAAATATATGTTATATTACATTGTATTCTTTAAAATGGGAGCAAACCACATGGACTTTTATAATCTACTTTTTCAATTAAAAATCATCATTGCATGTCAACTCATGGAATAGCATTGTGTGTGTACCCTAATTTATTAATTCGCAATTTGTTGGAGATATATATATATAATATGGTTGATGAGAACTTTAGATATCCTCAAACCCAGCCCATTAAGTCTGTGACAAAGAGACCTAACCAACAACTGATCTGACATCTCTCCTTGAATGTTTAATAGGCATCTCAAACTTAAAAAAGCCCAAATTAGACTTTTGATCCAAGTTTCTTACTCACTTTCCAGTCTTCCTCATCCCAGCAAACGTTCCCACTATCCCCTTGGCTGTTCAGGACAAAAACCTACGAATCATCCTGGAGTCTTTCCTTTCCTCACTCCTCACATCCAATCCATTAGCAAATATTCTTAAATAAATCCTGACTCTATCCATTTCTCACTATCTCCACATCACCACCATCATCTGTTGTGTACATGAGTCTCCATGCCACCTGCCTTCCCTCCTGCAGTCTACAAACAGGAATGTTTCAGTGTCTTCTCATGGCACTTAGAGAAAAGATCCAAACTCTCCCCATGATCCACAAGGTCCTCTATGATGGGGGCCTTGCCTACTGCGCTAACCTCATCTCCTATCACCCTCCCCTCACCCACTCTACACTAGCCATATTTTTCCCCTGAGGTTCCTCAAACATGTCAAACACTTTCCCACTTAAAAGCCTCAGCAGCAACTCTTTCCTTTATTTGAAATATGCTTCCTCCAGAACTTCACACTGCCCATCCCTTGACTTGATACAAGTCAGTTATCTTCTCAAATGTCATCTTCACAGAAGTGTTCACTGACCACTCAGGCTGTCCTAAATATTGCAGGGTGTTTAGCAGCATCCATGGCTTTACCCACTAGATGCCATCAGTGTACCTCCACTTGTGAAAACTAAAATGTCTCCAGGCGTTCCCAAATTTTACTGGAAAGGCAAAATGGCCTCTGTTGAGAGTCGCTGCTCTAGGGTGAACAATGAGGAGCAGAATTGCTGATTTGTGTATCTTTAGATGTACTACGCAGAACCAAACTGTTTTCCAAAGGACCCGTGACAGAAGTGACATCATGGAATTAGCAGAGTAGGGAACTCTGCTAATTCCATGGCTCATGTTTCCGGGACAGCTTACAGGTACCAGGGAAAGCAATAAATATGGACCTCATTCTTAAACACTGTGGTCATGCATTTGACCTGTGTGGTGGTTCCCTAAGGGACCAGCACCGAGATTGACCTTTATTTTGCCCCTGTCAGATTGAAGTGGCTTTCTGGGTGGCGTTTGATGAAAGCACTTAAAGATATATGCTACTCATTGCTGTCTGGGGCAAGGAATGGAGGATGAGGCAAACAGGCAGGCCCCAAAGCCTAGGTATGATGAGGAAGGTTCTTGGGGGAATGAGAGCTGAGAAGGGCTCCTGAGCACACTGGGGAATCTGAGGTATGAAATGCACGCCCTCGGCCAGACACATGCTCAGAAAAGACCTGAGAGGATCTGAGATTTACCTCTCTGGCTGATATTTGGATTCCACAATAAACAGGAGATGCAGGCTAAGGCAGAGTTGTAGTCAGCTTGGCTCAGCATTGAAGGAGTATCCTAGCTCAGAGCCAATATGCAAAGACTACAGGAGTTTTTTCTGTTTTTGTCTCTAGGCATTTAAGAAACTATCTTCCCATCACTAGCTGACTGCTGAGATAACACAACAGAGACTTTGGTGACCACACATGACAATCTTTGCAAAAGTACTATGGAAAAGTCACTAACTGGACAACTGCAGCCCTCAAGAATCAACAACCGAGAGAGCCCTGTGGAGGGAAAGAGAATCGATAGACATAGGAAGTAGATCAGCTCCATCATCCCAAAACACCCCACGCCTACCCCTAGCAACTACTATTTTTCATCCCTATAGCTTTGTTTTTTTAAGAATATCATATGAATGCCAAAACCGGTTTGGCTCAGTGCATAGAGCGTCAGCCTGTGGACTGAAAGGTCCCGGGTTCGATTCCGGTCAAGGGCATGTACCTTGGTTTGCGGGCACATCCCCAGTGGGGAGGTGTGCAGGAGGCAGCTGATCGATGTTTCTAACTCTCTATCTCTCTCCCTTCCTCTCTGTAAAAAATCAATAAAATATATTAAAAAAAAAAAAAAAAGAATATCATATAAGCCCTAACTGGTTTGGCTCGGTGGATAGAGCATCGGCCTGTGGACTGAAGGGTCCCAGGTTTGATTCCGGTCAAGGGCATGTACCTTGGTTTCAGGCACATCCCCAGTAGGAGGTGTGCAGGAGGCAACTGACTGATGTTTCTAACACTCTATCCCTCTCCCTTCTTCTCTGTAAAAAAAAAAAATCAATAAAATATAGTTTTAAAAATGAATACTCAGATTCATCTTAATTGATACTTCCGCCCTAGCTGGTTTGGCCAGTGGACAGAGCGTCAGCCCACAGACTGCAGGCTCCCAGCCTTGGTCAGGCATGCGTGCGAAAGGAAGGCAACAATCGATGTGTCTCTCTCTTTCCTTTACGGATTATTTTCCTTATATAAATGGAATCATAAAATGTATAGACTTTTGGATCTTTCATTTAGTAAAGTGCAATTGAGACTCATCCATGTTGTTATGTGAACCAATAGTTCTTCCCTTTTCATTGCTGAGCAGTATTCTGTTGTATGGACATACCACATTTTGCCTATCTAGTCACCTGTTGTTGAACATCTGGGTTGTTTCCAGTTTTATTTTGAATAAAGCTGCTATGGGCATTCACATACAGATTTTTGTGTGAACATTGATTTTTAACTCATTTGGATAGATAACCAGGACTGGGATTTCTGGGTTACAGGGAGAAATCATTCAATATCTCCTCATTAAGCCTGATGTTAGCTGTATATTTTTTGTAGGTGTCTTTATTGAGTTAAGGAACTTGCCTTTTATTCCTAATTTGCTGGGACTCTTTTGCTGTTGCTTTTGTATCTTGTTTTACTGACTATACAGGAGTGGGCAAAAGTGGATTTACAGTTATAATACAAAGACATAATATAGTAATTAAGAAATAATAATAATACAAAAATAAACTCTGTGTTTCCCGTACTTACAACTGTAGGCCTACTTTTGCCCACCCCTGAATATTAAATTTTGTCCAATGCTTTTTCAGAGTTCTCTGGTACTTGCTTTTCCTGTTCTGCCCCACAGTATTTTGTTTCAATAAAACATAGATAGTCTGAAGTAGACATACTCCATCTTGGTCAACTTCAGAAGTACTCATTAATTTAATTGATACTTCCACCCTCACTAGTTTGGCCAGTGGACAGAGCATCAGCCCACAGACGGCAGGCTCCTGGCCTTAATCAGGCATGTGTGCAAAAGGAAGGCAATCAATCCATGTGTCTCTCTCTCCTTTATGGATTGTTTTCCTTCTGCCGGAAGAACACCTTTGGTATTCATTTTAATGTGGGTATGCTGATGTTCTGTAGTTTTTGAACACAAAAGGTCCTTATTCTTTCACAAAGAATATTTTACTTAGCATAGAATTCTCTATTGGCAGTCGTTTTCTCTCTGTAATTTAAATATATTGTTATTTTGTCTTTGGATTTTCATTGTTTCTATGGGTAAACATCTGTAGGTTTTGTTCTTTCTCCTTTGAAGGTAAACTCTCTTTTTTTTCTTTAGCACTTTAAGTTTGTTTGGGGGAGGGTGGAGGAGGGAGACAGGAGCAGAGAGGCCTTTGAGTTTTAGCAGTTTTACTATGATGTGCCTAAGTATGGCTTTCTTTGAACTTATCTTTCTTGGCTTTGTATGTCTTCTACTTATGGCTTGATATATTTTATCAATTGAGAAAAACTCTCAGCCATAATCCCTTCAAACTTTTTCTATCCCATTCTTACTCTCCTTCCCTTCTAGCACTTAAACTACCATATGTTTGATCTTCACACATTCTCTATGTCTGTAATTTTCTTTTTTTATTTTATATCTTCTTCCTCTTGTCTCTTTATGTTTCATTTTAGATATTTTCTTTCAACATACACTCCAGCTCACTAAATTTCTCCTCAGTGATATTTAATCTGCTATTAAAAATACCCACTGGGGTTTTCATTTCAGTTTTAATTTTTAGCTGCAGGCTTTACTTTTTTGAAATTTTTATAGTTCCTAGTCCTCTGCCAAATTTCGAAGGCTCTTATTTTATCTCCCTGAATATAATGAATAGAGTTAAAGTCTGTAACTGCTTTTGTTTTCCTTCTTTTTTCCTTCTTTTTGTCTTTTATGTGCCTGTTTATTTTAAATTGTAGGCCAGGTATGAATTTGCCAAATTGTTTGTAATTTGTCTACAGAATGAGGTATTCTTCCTCTAGAGAAGTTTTCATTTATTTCTGGTAGGCACTTGACACTCTTCACCAAGTAATATGAGCTAACCTTCAGCCAAATTCAGTGACCAAAATTATTCAAAACTGAGCTGCAATTTCTGCAAGAGCCTGCCTTTTCTGGGATACCCTTACTGCTACACTGTGGTGCATTGAGATCCCTACACAAAGCAAAGGAACACCCCTTCTTGGTTGAACCATGTCCTTTTGCTGTTTCCTTAGCCTGACAAGGCTATCCAAA